ATTACGGCGTTACATGGAGTTGAAATTTCGCATGACGTCACGTTAGAGTACGTTTTCTACTCAACTGTAACGTAGCGAGCCCCCACTCCTCAACTTTATGTAAGCTATTTTTTGTTAAAATGAAGTAAAAAAAAATACGTATCTAATATTTTTCTATTATCTGACTGACGGACTAAATAGAATTCCATTTTTTTTACCCAGTCATCATCCCTATTTATGGACAACGATGGTAGAACCTGACATTGCCTCTGATGCAAAAATAATCTTCACGGATAACCGTGATTGTGAGTTTAACAATATTATAAGAAAAACTCGAAATTTTCTAACTTTTTTTTCAGAATTAGCTTCAACCCTGCGATTTTGTAAAGATCCTGACCCAAATTTGAATTCACTCATGTGTCCGAATCCACGTTATTTAGTGTAGAAATTCTATTGATTCTATTTTTTGTATAAAAATACAAAACAAAATTGATTGAATATACGTGGCACAGATATTCTATTCCTATGTCATTTCGATGTCAGTTTTACGCTAACGCGTTCACTAGTGAGCGCGTTAAGAATTTGTATAGAGATTTTTAGTTCTTGTTAGTTACCGCTAGGGGCGCTGTATCGGATTCCATACTAAAATCTTAACGCGCTCACGATCGGCAGTGAACGTAAACGTCAAAAAAACTTAAACTAAACGCTCTGAGCAGAAACGTTTCTAAATCTAAAAAAAAAATCCAATACAATATGGAGATAGAGTTTAGGTATTACTCAATTCATACGTATTGCCATTAGCTATTATAACTCTACAATAAAAATCGTTTCACCTAATTATGTGTGTAAATGTCAATAAAGAGTATTTAATACTCTAAAACAGTATCAAAATAATCCAACACAAGTAAACAAATAGCTATTAAATATGTACAGTGATACTGTGAAACTCTATTCAGAAGTTAATTGGAAAGCTTTCAATAACGTCTTGAGAAAACGGAGTCGATTTACAGTTTGTCTTGATTGAACAATTTATATAGAACATTGATCATTGAATTTAACAAACATTGATTGAATTGGGAATTTATTTGAATCAATCGAGCAACAATTATTGTGAATATAATTCTGTTACTGTTTTATAAGAAATATAAATCACTGAAATTTAATATTAAATTATTGTTATTCTACAAAAAAATTATTTACTCTAGCTCCTCCGTGCTTTGGATGGCACGATAAGCCGTTGGTCCTGGCTGCATCTGCTGTCGTTAATACCCATCAATCCGCCTGGGCTCGCGTAGTGGGTAATGGCGCATACTCCCTATTCGATTTAGTTCGATTTCATCCACAGCGAAGTCCTGAAGCCCAGCAGTGGGGATATTAGTAGGATGGCGAAGATAATGATGATAATGATACAATAAGTCCTTAAGACTGAATATTTTTATCTAAAGATGTTATAATGGTAGTAGGTCTAGAATGGGAAAACATGACGTTACATGATGCTACCAGGAATAACGTTACATGATGTATGTATTACTTTCTTAGCGCTGAACGAAAAACTGTGTAGGAAAATAATTGTTACACTGTAAGTAGCTATAAAATCTCGATTGAACCATAACAAGTAAAATATACGATGCCGTATTGATACTCGTTTGATATACTATATCAATTTGTGAAACATTCATACAATAATTGCAAGTAAATAGATTCAATTAGTTAAGGTATAATACCTTTACGTATAGACTATGTTATTCATCTCCCATCATTGCCATCTCGGACTCCTGGGACTGTCGAAGTTTAAAGTATTTTACTATGTAAAAATAATCCATAGTAGTAATCACAAGTAACAAAACAAATAGAATCTCGAAGCGTCTAAAAAAGAAAAAATCGATTTTGAGCGATTTACGTCCTGTGATACTTATGCCCATTTTCCCAAAACTTAGGAGTCGCTAAAATCTGTCACCTAATAGGAATAAAGGTAAATACATTTCAATAATGACTGGGAACCTAACGATATTAACCAATGTCTAAAAGTCATTATAATTATGTGATATGCGGCGACTGGCAATAGACATTTAACATATCACAAATTTTAAAGGAATTAAAGAAAAAATGTTTATATGGAATTAAACTAATCTGCTTAGGCGATTCGTATGATTTAGGCGTTCCTTAGTGAAGTTAAGCCTTGTTCTAGGTTAGTGAAAACGGGTGTTATTCTATTATCAAATATTTAAATCGTACAAACACCATATTTTCATGCACAAACGATGTTTTGGAGTGTACCTATTATGTTGATTTGAATTCCTCCTGCCATATGTCCCATACCGCAGTAATAAATCAATCAATGCTGTCCATTAACATATTCAATAGAGCATTTCTTGTCTTTTTCTCACTCATCCGTCGATTTCTAGAGGGCGGTGTGCGTCTATTAAAAGAGCGATTGTGTTAATTAATAAATGTATGGTGCCTTTAACAGAGATAAGTTACTTAAAATAACTACAGACTTATTCGGAACCACAATTTTTTGTTTTGAACTCGAATCGAGGTTCGTAATTAACGTACCTAAACACCAAATCTTTAGTGTCAGTTATTTTTTCTATACATATAACTATTGACAGCATCAATATTTGATCAATCGATATAATTGAAGTGAGTGAAAACTTTTATGAGAGCTTTTAATAAAAAATAAAAAAAAAACTACCACGCAGGTCCAGTGAATGCTTTAGTCAATATTTTTTGGTCATCCATCACATTCTACATCCTCACCCATCTGCTACTCTCTCTTTACGAGTAATATAATGAGGAAGTTTTAAAAAATAAAACATTATTTCCCGATGTCGCTACGGTACGTTCTTGATTTCTCCATGACAACCCTTACGGTTTTCTTTCATGTTTAAAAGTAAATTACTTTTCAAAATTCAATAAACAACTCATATTCTATTTGTACTTTTTCGTATTTGTATTGATATCTAGGTTTCGAACTTTTCAAATTTCAGTTTTTAATATGTTAGTCTTTGGTTCATTCGTTTCCTGTAAAAATCAACTTTTGCTAGAGTCGCCATCTAGTGGAGGTGCTTTTGTTTTTTTAAATACTTTCTCATTCAAATTTCAATTTTATTTTTCAAAAGTCTACATATGAAAAGAAATACCAACAAAAAATATTTGCGTGACATTATAAGATGCCATTTTCATGGAATGGATTCTAGGTTTTCAAGGGCCGAACACACACAGTAAAGTTGTTTTCATATTTATATATTATTAGTATGAAAGTATGGATATTACCTTTGTGATATAATCGCTGACCGCTTTCATCCAGGTCGCATCCTTAGCATTCCCGGTATTGCGTGTTACATTCGGTAGAATCGTTATCCACAAGTGGGTCAAGTGCGCGTAACTTGATCTCTCGCTCAACTCCCGCGCATCGCACGCGCCCGCTCGCACGCACGCACGATGAAAAAAAAATCTAATGCATCATACATACAGTGGTATGCGATGAAGTTTTTATAAGTGTAATAGGGATTTAATTATGTCTTTCACTTAACATACGAAATGTACAGTCGACAACACATCGGTTATACAAAACTGTCAAACTTAGATGAATTTCAAACCACACAAATAAAAAAAATTGCAATAGAAATTCTTTAAAAAATTAGCATCTGGTTGCCATGTTTTAATTAAAAAATTACAATGGATGAAATTGTAATCGACGCTGGCCCAGCGTTGGTTAATAAGTGAAAACGATACAGATGCGACAGAGACCAATGGCTTAACGTTTCTTCAGAAGTACGAAGGAGCTCGAGATAACGAAATTTGATCATACATCCTATGACCAGCTCTTGCGAAAGTTGCTTAACTTCGCATCTCAAACCGAACACGCTAACCACAGCGCCACCGAGCACCGCATGTTAGAATAGTATAATAAAAAATTACTAATACGTAACGCAAAAGAAAACTAAAAAATATATATATTTCAACGTTATAAGTACCTATCCTTTTAAAATTGGTCACGCTCATCATTAATATATTTTCAAGAGTGTTTATTCTAATAACACTTAAAAGTTTGTCGAGTATGTTTATTGAATTTCATTAATTTAATTTTGCTGGGCTTCACGGTTACCGGTTTCGCGGAAATGTGATTAATTTGGAATTCGTGCGCGTATAAATGTTTATTAAATTTACGTCTAGTAGTATTAAGTTACTTATTTTGTTGCCAGTAGGTAAAATTCAATTTCTAACATTCAACAAATGTATTTAAAGAGAATTTATTTTAAAGCCATGGCGTTTTGTCTTCCGCTGCGGAGTTACTTTTTACTCATAGAATGGATGACCAAAATTTATTTCCTTTAGCTTCATACTTTCTTCAGAAAATGTATTATAAAAATCATTCATTTTCAGCTCGTAATACTAACTTGGCTACCAATATTATTATAGTTATTATAGGTGGCGTAGTAGATAAGCGTCGTGGCCCACGATCGTTGTGGTTAAGCACCTTTCGCAAGGGTCGGTCACAGAATGGGTGACCAAAATTATTTATTAATTTCTAATGCAGTATCTAAGTAAACGGCTCCATTCACTCAATAATTTCCACATAACCACCATTATATTTTACCTTTTGTCTCCGTAAATTTTATACAATTTGGTACTTTATTTTATAAAAAACTACCGTATAGAGGCTTCCATCATTAACTGGTGCACTGCTATTATTAAACAAATTAAGATTGCCTTAAGTATTACTCAGAATTCATATTATGAAACAGACACATGGCAAAATATTTTTTATTGCACTATTATTAGTATTACTTTATAGCTTAGTCTGATTAATAATATGAATTTTGACTACCTGCAATAATACTGTAACATGTATGCTTCTTTACTATTATATTATTTAGAGCATGTGCTAAAAGACTTAAATTAGAAAGTTCAACTTTTCCGATATTGTCGATACAGAAATTTGATTTAGGGCCATAAAATCTATGTGGTTGGAATATATGTAATTTGTTTCATATAATCTTTTCTCTTGTTTCCAGCCAAAAAAGCTACAACAGCCCGTGGAGTTGGACTACGGTGACGGCGACGGGCGACTGACCACGGGCGCCGCGCGGGCCTGCGCCCGCGCACCCGCAGTGAGCCGGGGGACGGGGGGCGGGGCGGCTGCGCGAGCGAGACGACCATTGTGTAGAGTGAGATGAAAATGAAAGAACTTATGAACAGATACTCCTTCAGTTGGGTCGGACGGAACTGCCAATGTCATTAAATTTCTGGCTTAACATTCATTTCAACACATAATAATAATTATTATGTAATTTTACTATATAGTTTGTTTTCTTGTAAAAAAGTGGTAGCTTTAAAGAGAATAATTTGGCAACAAAATAATTCCGAAATATTAAATGACTACAATATTATTTGGCCAAATATCTCGGTTCGCCCCGACATAGGAGAACGAATTGATCCGTCCGAAGTTATAGGCCCCCGCGGTTTACTGCGCACGCACGCATATGTGAACTCGTCTGTACGTGTAATATTAGCAAGTAGACACTGTTAAGTTAAATTTTATTTCCATGATTTAGTGATAATAACGACTTATAAGACGAAATATGAATCAATTTTGATCTCAATGAATTTGAAGTAAAAAAACTACCATTATTCCCATAATAATTTCATGTGGCAACATTAAACCTACAGAAAAGTTCACATATGAAAAGGAATTGTCGTTTCACCCATTTCTGAATCGTGGTTTTGACTCGCCAGACAATTACACGATGGAATATCATATCCTTATAATTAATATATATAACGAGTATCGGGTGCAGGGACGGTACTGAAGTGCATAGGACATATTCTATTTTATAGTTGTGATAATTATAACAACGCTCCGAAGTGGCGAATAGTTCCAAATGTGCAATGAAATTGGAATGTAAATGTATATTATATGGTAGTTAGAAAACTTAAGTGGCAGTGCGATGCATTTAATTTATATACGGGCCGATGCAGGTTGAATTTGTTATTCAAATCGCACTCTCATTTGCACGTTGAATAACAATTCTGATTACATTATTTATTAAGTTTCAATTGAAAAAGTTGCGAAATCTGAGGAGAATAATTATGTACCGTTAAGTTTCTATGTTAAATGTAAATAATATACTCTTGTTTTGAATTTCACTACGTTGAAATAGTTTAAGTATTGTGAATGTTATTGTTGATCCACATTAGAAAACCGTTGTTTTTATTTAAATACAAATACAACCTGCATCACCTTTTAATATTTATATTAGCCAGTTACAAGCCGACAATTTGTGAGCTACAAAATTAACGGGTAGCAGTTGTCGACTCCAGTAACCGCCCGGTTGGAGTGAGAGCGGCGTATACTGTTGATCTCTTCACACTGTGTTATAATATATAGCCACACATGACATAGGAGCGCTGTTCTCACTTTAGTCGGTTATGTCAGTGTTAGAGTCTTATAGTTAAATTGGTTGGATTTTTTTATGATTCTGCAAATTTCATTACGCCGCGACATTTATAAACAAATATTTTAATATCAAAGACTATAACTGAATTGATATTATATATTTTGTTATAAGACATATAACAATAGGGATGATGGCTTATTTATGTTTGTTTATCCGTCAGATAGATTATTGAAGTATATTAGACAAGTATTTTATTAGATACGTATCAATAAATTACGGCGATAAATATAGTCGAATTGTGCATGACGTCACACCTTTGTACATTTTTTGTAGTAGCAAGCCAGTGCCTCAACTTCAATGACTATTATCTATGCCATTTCTTGTATAAATTGAAGCAAAAAAAATATAAGTATTTAATATTTTTCTATTATCGTCATCCCTATTTGCATAAATGTTAATTAATTTTTATTTTCAGTGCAATAAAGTTTTTTCAATCAATCAATCAACCTGATCCGAAATTCTGCGTAAATTTTAACCTTACTATGTACAGGTTAAAGCTTAAAATTGTTTGAAGTTCAGTCTTTAATATTATTTACACGCTAGAGTGAACTTGTTATAAGAATAAAAAGACAATAGATTTACGTCTGAAAATACATAAAATAACAAAATATCAATCAAACTGTATAAGATTAAAAAAAAACATCATTTACCTATTTTAGTCCAAATATTACGGAAAAAATGAAACTACAGAATCATAAAAAAATTACCACCGATTATATTTAATTTTTTAACTAATTAAATAAAATTAATAAAAACTATTTATTTCGTTATTTTTTAAGTTTTCGATGATTTTAATTGTTCTCGTTACTTTCCTTGGGGGATCTTTATCGATTTTTAGAATTAGTCATCACAATAATCGTTCAGTGTACGAGGCGGTATCGATTAACCAGATGTTTCGATGTAATTTTAGTATTAATCATTGATAACTTTTCTAGTGTACAATTCCATTTTTCTATTCCGGCTATATTAAGACTCTAAAAGCACAGGCAAGTTATAAATGCTACTTATTATTAAGATTTGTTGTTGTATCTAACTGTCAAAAAAAATAATATTAAAGTGTACATACCTATTGATTATATAAAACTCTTACGTATTCGAGTACCAACTTTTTTAATTGAGTTCAGTTAAAAAAGTTGCAACAAATTTTCTGAAATGAAGTCTTATATTGACGTAACAACGTCCTGTTGGCTATCACGTTTTCTAACAACAAAACAGTACTTTCTGGTTTAACAATACATAAAAAAAAAGTTATGGCCCGTGTTGCTCGCACGACCGAAAAGTTTCATCGAACTCGACGTCACGTGCACGCCAGTCGGCTAATTTGAAAAAGTTTTCTTTTACCATGCGGAAAATGAATTTATTTCATAACCTAACTTTTTCACAACCCGTTAAGTAAACAAACCGATGTATTTTTAATCGAATTTTATTATTCAATATATACAGATAGTAAAAGGATTTAAGAACGTGCTTGACACATATTTAAAAAAAATTAAACGTTCCAAACTCCAGGTTCCGCACTCTCTATTGGCCTAATGATGGCTAACCGTAGACAAGGAATCCGAAACATTAATAGTTCATATAGTTGTTTTACGTTATCGTTAGTATATGTTGCAATGTAAGACATAAATATGAATTTAATTAACTTGCCTGTGCCGTAACAAGTTATTCGATGGATAACCGCCTCTGAAATAATAATTGTTGGTTATAGTACTATCTTATTGTAATTTCAAAAAGTTTCCTGATGTAATTTATTGACTCGATAAATGAAATTACGCTTCTAAAGTGTACTATTACATATGTAAATATAGGACAACTAATAACTACTATAATAGTGAATGTTGTAATTTGTATATAAGTAATGAAAATTAAATTTTAAATACATAGATAACAATGTGCGTTGCAATTTATTTATCATCCTAACAGACCCCGAAATAATATTGGGTGCGTGTAAAAGTTCAAAGTTTGTATAAGACATATGTAAACAAGAGCAATGTATTTATGTTGATATAGATAATATTTTCCTCAACTATTACTGATTTCAAATCTTCTCCGAAACAGATAGAACTTTCGACACACACCCAATAAAGTTTCTTTATACAACAATAGCATCGTAGAACAATGCAAAATAATTTATAATGGAAAGCAAGATTGCTTAAGTAATCTATGATATTTGTAATTAATTTTCTAGCTGAAAATTAATTACAAATATCATAAGCCTATTAACGTCCTCATGTTAAGACACAGGCATTGCCTATGAATAGAAAGAGATAATACATAAAGAAAACGGATCAAACATAATCCATACAGGCCCAGTGTGGATTAGTTGGTGTCAACTACAAATGTAGGCCAGCACGCGTATGTACAATGACGAAAGCTAGAACGCCTGACCTTCGACATTTTCTGAAATTCGTTTTTTTTATTATATTATCATTTTGGCACCCCCCTTACACTGACGCCCGGGGCAAGTACCCCCACTTGCCGCCCTAATTTCGGTCCTGAATGTTATGTCTACAACCAGATGTTACTATTATCGAGTGCGCCCATACGATATCTTACTCTCGATCCGAGAAAAATTCACATTCATGGTGTAAACAAAAAGTTTTTCCAGATTGTCATGTTACGCGTGCTGGCCATCTCCTTGACGTACAGTTAGCAGCACGTCAACCAACCGACTACAAACGGTCAAATAGATTTTGAACCTTCCTCTGTGAACTATAAAGTTCAAAGTAGATGCCAGTGACCCTTTATAGTAAATAATCTAATATCATGTTGTTATTTCGACGAATTTGATATAATAAATTTTGGGTCTCCCATCCAATAACTAACCACCAACAGCTGCTGCGTTAAAATTTTCTAATGAGTTTTTGAACGCTCAATGAATGAATGAAACTACTATATAGAAATTCAATATACAGAAATATAATTACAATAGGTTGCTAAATAATACATTATATAATCACTTTTATCGTACGTAAATACATTGCTATAATGAGCTTATGCTCATTTTTATAAATTAAGCACTGTCTTAATGTATTATTTCTAATGTTACTGAAAATGGAAGTTTAAAACAATATAAAGTGCTGTCTTTATACATCCTTTCGAATCACCATATCTATTAAAAAAACCGCATCAAAATCCATTGGGTAGTTTTAAAGATCTAAGCATACCTAGGGACAGACCCAGACAGACGGAAAGCGATTTTGTATTATGTACTGAATTATCACATAGTTCGTGTACATAGAATCCAAACTGATTATCTGGAAGATGTTTTCGTAGTGGTATATAAGTAATAACCAGAGGTCGGAATTAGGTAGAGTTATTTATGTACTTGCATCGAAATGTTGATATCAATGTGGACCTTCCCGGGATTTCTTTATTTCTTTCTTTCATTGATGTAAGTTTGGCAACGTCGTGCGTGCAGTAGTTTAAATTGTGTAAAAGTAAATAACTTTTTATTTAAAAAAATCACGGGATTTTTTCTGCTCTTTAAAATTAATCTCGGGATTTGAGGCATATCCACTTTATTCTTTCGCTGTATGAAATCAGTGTAAGTACATGAATAACTCTACCCAATTCCGACCACTGCTTATAACTTAAGGATACATACTTTATTACAATGACAAAGTTCATATTACATTAAGTTACTACTCGGGGGAGGTTTTACTTGGACGTCGACGCTTTGCTATGACAGTGTCCGATTACAGATTAGGACTGTAGTAATATTTCTTAGTACTGTTACACATAAACAAATACTAAATTAGCCTCTTGTAGTTACACAAGGTCTTCCAGCTTACATCATTCAAGTTACAAACTTAGAACTTTAATCACAGACATTTATTTTTAGAACTATTTCAGTATTTTAACTCTTGTAATTTTTTAATCAAATAATGGCTAGTGTCTTAAATTAAATACAAAAGTATACACATATATCGCTCACTGAATAGCACAGTGGCACAACTCAAAAACCATTATTTCGAGAAAACGCCACAACATTGTGGTGACATCCCATAGATAATTTAAAGAAAAAATAAAAAACTTAACAGTAATAATATAATACAAACGATTTAACTGTTATGCTAAAAAAAAATGATTTTCAAAATTATAAATATATTAAATTTTCATAACTTCGGAGAGCGTTTTTCGAAATATGGTTTTTGAGTTGTGCCATTGTACTATTCAGTGAGCGATATGATCTTAAATTCTATTATAAACTATATGAACTGGATAAAATGAATATTTAATTGTCAATGAGAAAACAAACACAATATTCTTCCCTAGACCGTCTTTATAAATATATACACTAAGATATATATTTTAATGATTAAGAAGCATAGTATAAAAATAAATTTTTCAAGAATAGCAGTATTACTTTCCTAGTCTATATCAACAAAATCACAATTATTTTGAAACAAATTTATTATTAATATGATTTATATATTACATATAGGGTATCACTGGTTTGGACTATTGATATAGTACGGTCGCCGAAACGAAAGAAAATCGTCGACGCAAAATTGACTTAGATGCGTCTGTGCGATCGCAATTGCTGTTTGTTTGCCTACAAGTAAAAGAGATATGTAGTGTCGGGTCAATGTCCGAAATAGAGTAACTGACACTATTGAAAATAAGTTACATGTTGTGATCATCCTATATGATAATAATCTAATAGATAAGATTAGATTATTTTAAAGCAACATTTTTAGGAATTGAATGAACGACGAAAAGCCTTGTTATTGGTTGTCGTCGTAATGTGTGTGTGGCGTCACACGAATCAGGAAGCTGTCGTCTCAAAACAGTGTTATTAAAGATACACATATTGCAATTTTTAGCTTATTCTTATAAAAAAAACCCTGAGTACATACGAATACATATCATAAAATTAACTTCTATTTCTGTTCTGTAATACTATTTGTTTACTTCGTAAATAAATAATTGATAAATAGGTTATATCGCCTTGACATATTTACAAGTGACGTCACCAATACCAAGTCATCAGCGCCATTACATAAGCAGCGTTTTTTTGCGCGATTTTGGCTATTTAAACTTTGACAATTATTTTCATCGAAAGTCCCATGACAACATAAAAAATTTCAGGCTCCCATGAAATATATTGATGGTGTGTTTATAATGTACCAAACAACCATTTAAAATAGTTTTCAAAAAAGTGTCAAATACCCTACTCTCTCTGTTCGGCGACCGTTTTATAGATGCCAATTGTATTCTTTGATATTATTGTTTGACGAATAAAGCAAGAGAAGAAAGTGGCGTTAATGTGATAATCGATAATATAAAATAAAAAGAATTACATATATAAAAAAAGAAACTACGTCATCGTTTGTTGTATTTACTTTAAGAAAACTTATTTTATGCAGATTTATGCGGTTATTACAGATTAAGTAATTTATTTACAACATTTATGTAAAGTATGTTGTTTTTTTAAAGTTTAATAATGTAATATATTAAGCCGAGTTTCTAACAGTTCAACACTCGGTAACAGGCCCTTGATATTCCTCTGTTTACCTTTAATTTCAGTTCTATCATTTGCTGGTGTAATGTTGTTTTAATACTTTCATTAAAATAAAATTCAGAAACGATATCTTTTTATATTTGTCTACTCATCGTAAGTTATATTACAAAACATTACAGAATAATCGGATATTATTAATGTTGCCATATAAAAAAAAATATGCCTAGTAACTTTTCCAAAGTCCCGGTCCCGTCACTGAAATAAATAAGCAAATTTTAGAATTACAATATTTATAATATTTTATTCGCATTTCTCCGGGCGGTTAACAATTATATGAGTCACAGAAATTAATTTAGCGGAGACCAAACCCGGGACTTCAGATAATACACAATAATGGACGAATCCTTTCGTTTAACTGACTTACTTATAAAGAAATAAAACAATTATTGCACAAATCATTAGCTTAGACACTTACCGCTGACATATTATATAACCTACAGTAAATAATAATAGAATTAAATTATTCCATAAAAAAAATAAATGTTAAAATTATTGACTTGTTTCTTGATACAATACTGGTATTCTAATGGTTGATAAATATTTAAGGCTTCTACAAATAAACCGAAGTCTCTGACGTCACCCAAATATGCTAATATCAATTAATTTTATAGAAACAATTAGAAAGGGAACAGTTTAATTGAACATTGTAATTTTAAAAGCATTAACACAGTAACGTTTCTAAAATTATGGTACGAAATAAATATTTCGATAACTACTAAATTATTTAAATAAGAGATCGTATCAAGACATACTTGTGTTGACCAAGAGTTTCATACTAGATTAGATTTTCCTTATTCCGTTCCTAATTCAACTTATATGGCGCACTGTCAATCTTAGCTTGCGCAGAACAGGGCCATAATTAACTAATTTTAAAATCTATCGCAATTCCTTTCAATTTAACATTTGAATGATATTCTCGAATTTCCCTCTATAGCGACTTTTTTTTCAATTATGTTGAATGAATTATGTCGTACATGATGTTAATTAGAATTGTGCAAATATTACTTTCGACGGGTTTAGATATCGACGCTGGAAAGCAAACACGTAGTAACCCGCAAAACCAAAATTGTTCTTTAGAGCAGAAAACCTTTAATTATTTTCGATAAATAATTCCTATAAACGTCCATGGTAACAAATTAGGTGTTCCTTATTAAATTTATACGAAAAGAAGATATTTTTTCTTGGAAAAATATAAAGATTTTCCATTCTAAATATCTAATTTGGTTTTGCTGGTTACTACGTGTTTGCTTTCCAGCGTCGATATGTTTTTATTATATTACACAATTACATAAACTGTTATACCTTTGAAAGGGAATGCGAAAGTATTTGAATATAGACAATTAGGCAACGGCTCCATCAATACCGATGACCGAACGTACGTTTAAAATTTATAATGAGCCTTGTTTCAATAACTATAAGGTTCAAAGTCTCAATCACATCCGGCAGTTCTTGAATCATTCTGTTTGGGCACAAGGTATTCTATCTTACTGTACCAACATTTATATAGGTACATTTAAAGATTTCAATTTCATACCACACATCTTTAAATTAAATTTACTTACTCGTAAATCATTATGATTATTATAAAGCAGCTCCCGGCCACAGAAAACGGCAGCACGTTGCTTTTTATAAAAAAAAATCGATAAATATGTGAGCCGGTGAAATTATACTGGACTTTGACAATAATCGTTCTAGTTTGCGAGTAATTAAGTCTATCTTTGCCACCATCTTATTGCCAGACTCAAACATATACATAGATAAACTGTTGACTTTAGGCTCCTATTAAAGATTGTTCAAATATTAAACTTGCACTGTGAATATAGAATTCAGTACAAATACTGCATTTTTTTTTCATTTGTAATCTTTTAAAATTCGGCAATATAATTGGATATTATTGAATTTTAATGGTGACTGTATTATTGTTTGAGTCTTTTTAAATATCACACAAGTTTTTAAGTAACTAAACACTCGTTTATAGGAAATGGAAAACAAAAATGGTCAAAGCAATCATCATCTGAGATAAGAGAGAAAATAACTACATTCATTTTACATTTTCTGCATTGACCCGGCTGGAAGGAATGTGGAGCTTTAATTATGGCGGCAGTAGTGTGTACATTCGATATACAAAAGTTTGACCTACCGAGTAGTAAAATAAGTTGAGTTGGTCCATCGATCTTGAATCATTTGTTGGCCCAAAAACGGTCCAACATAAATTCCTACTAGAACTATCGGATATCGACCTAGAAATTATAAATATTAGTTTCTATAGATTACTTTGGCCAAAGTGTACACTAGCACATCATTTTAATACAAAATGTCGATTTTCCGCAATCAATTATGACCTTACCTACATACGTATTAAGGTTAAAGTAAATGAATAAAAAAATATTTGAAAAATTTAAGTTGTACATAAGCTGACATGTCTATATATACAAATGTTTTAAACAGTAACAGAATACGTACACGATGGATCAGTGTAACAAGTTAATTTTCATCTCCTATAAAACAAATACAGTCGTTATTACCATAGTAATAAGGTGTCGTTTTCACCGCCTCATCAACGTATAACATAGAATAAATATTTAAAGATAATTAAATTTATAAAATTCAACTAGTCGTGTAAAAGTAGGAATAGACTTAAGTCTTCTTTTGGTGGACGCTTTACAGTTGTATGAGATCTGGAAAAGAGATAATATCTTTATCGATAACAGACCTTCTTTAATTTGTATTGATGTAAATTGACTCTATATTTTATTTTTCAATATATATCTGTTAGATCATTATTCCCTTCCCTCTTCTATCTTTTTTATTGCTTAAAACAAACCCCTCTTCTTCTTTTCTCTCTATGGATAAAATAATATAGAGGTAGCATAACCTACAACACAGTTTCACGTTAACAGGCTACATTAGTCAGGACTAATGACTTATTGCATTTTTCATTAGAATATTTTCTAGTATAGTATTGTGAATGCAAAATGTAAAATCAACTTGAGTACTGCTTGCAATCCCAACAGAGACGTCACACGATGCTTCATCATGGCCCCGCTCGTACTTCGGTTCCCGTAATCCACAGATTACAAATCAAAAGATAATTTTACGATTATAATTTAAATTTTAAAACAAAAATCTCACATAGTTATATAATACCATTACCAAAATATTTCATAATTATAACGATAGTTTTCCACGGGACTGCTACCAAAAATCCCGCAAAAAAAAAACTATGATTCCACAAAACGCCCATGGAAGCTCAAAACAACATATCGCACTCCCGGTGCGACACTGTCACTTATGCAAAAATTTAGTTTTTCAGAAGAGTTTTAAACTCTGACACTTCACAAAACAATGACTTTAGAAGATATAGATGAGATGAATCACACGGAAACTATGCGTACTACAAAAGTAACATTATCGCACCAAGTAAAGGGGTGCTTTAGGACAATTATTACATATTTAACTATTTTTTGTATTTTTTGCAAAAGTGACAGTGTCGCACCGGGGGTGCGATATAATTTCATAATTTATTGCCACACCTGTCAAGCGGTGAGTCCGTACGTGTGGTCAGTACGGGGCGCCAGTACCTGTTATTTCTCTAGCAGCGATAGCCGCAGCGCCTCGTCCAGCGCCCGCTGCTCCGCCTCCAGCTGCCGGTCGCGGGCGGCGTGCTCGCGCGCCGACAACAGCAGCGCCTCACGCAACTCCGCGTCCGCGTCCCCCTCCGCCTCCCCCTCCCCCTCCCCCTGCTCGTCCCCCACGGGCGCGGGCGGGCTGCCCGGGGATAACGCGAGGGACGCGAGCGACGCCTCTATCGCTCTACACAACCCACTAGCGTTATGGCTACCCGCTACACTAACACACGATTGAACGAACAAACAGAGGAATGTTTCTTCTAAAAAGGGCCCTTGAAAATCTCGATTAGACAAAGATTTTCTAGAGTTGTTCTGTGATAGATAACATTCAAAAGGTCGCTTTTCAGGTTCACACCAAAACTAACATTATACAGATAATAGAATCGTGATATTTTGACAATATTAACGACCCTCCAGATAAACGATGACTTAAAGTTTTACCTCTGTTTCTTCGTCTACTTATGTGACCGTTACGAGCACTATTAAATTAACCAAAAAGTATATATAAAGTGTGAAAAAATATAAAGTTCTTCTACAACTCAAAATACAAAAACATACATACTCGTACTTTAAATATAATAGCAATACTTTGTTTGCTGTGTTACTTTGTGTGTTGGATTTATAACACTATTGATATCAATATCTTCAGTCATCCATCCTATGACTTATGTAAAAAAAATATTTAATGTCACTCCTATTTATAATATAGTTAGTTTGTAGGCATGTATCTATTAAGATTATTACTATTCTTAATGAAAATTATAACAAAAATAAATGAGAACACCGAACAAACAATTGATAATACTTCAAGATAAATATAAGGCATCGCCTTACTCCGTGTTTCCAACGATGATCGACTAATCAATAGTGTAATCATATGCCCTTATTTATTTATTACATTATTATCTAAACATCATGACTCTTAGAAGTGAAGCAATAAAAAATGTTGCAAAAACGGAAGAACATTTTACTTTTTTAAAGCTTTCCTTGCGAGCGTTGCGTGAACGGTAAAAGTTACGCATAATTCGTGTATTACGAAACTGAATCCCTTTAAAAGTTCTAAAAAAAGGTCCGCGGCAAAACGGAAGCGGAAGTTTGTATCGGGCATTAAATGGTTACCATAGCGACCATTGTTTACAATTCAATTTGTTATTATTAATATATTCAAATGATGAATCCATTATCAAATGATTTAATTGTTTACGCACAATCACTCAGTAAATTCATTTGGTCCTCAATCATAATCCTTCAAGAAAGATTATTAATTAAAAAGTCCATATTATATAAGTATACCTAATATGTATCATAAAAAATATAGATATACCGCAAAACGGAATACTTAAGCACTAGCAAAATATATGTGATCGATCTATTAAGATATTTCATTAACAATTTACTTAACTGCATAAAATACGAAGCGAAGAAAATACTGCATAATATATAGCTTAAACGCTGCGGCATATTGCTGAGCGGAGACCTTTTTAGTACCTAATTTTGAATTTTTCTATTATAATGTTATATACCTGTAATTTGGTGCTAAATAAACAATTTTCTATTCTATTCTATTCTATTCTATATATGCATAAGCGAAAATAAAAAAGTAATAAATATATTAAGTTGAAATAAATTTCTTAAACACACGCTACTATATGATATATTTAAAGAAAGTAACTAAAAAAATATTCTACGTTTGCCAAAAAAGGGGGATTTCCTGCCAAACGTACACCATTGATCAATGTAAGTTTTACTCTATTTAGTTTTATTTAAGTACCAAATTGAACGATATACACCACTGAGGGGCAGGAATGTTTTCAAAATTGGTTCAATCGTAATAAAAGATGCATCGACGCAAAGGCAGAATATTTTGAGGAATGATCAACTCACTTTTGCAAATTAATGGTATTTTTTTATTATTATAGATTCCGGAAACTTTTAGGGCGTCTCACGTATTTGTCAATTATGGCGTTCTATAACCGATAATGTCACAAGTTATCTTCTGTATCTTCTTGCGCCGATCGTAGTCGTTAAGCAACTTCGCAAGGGTCGGTCACGGGATGGGTGACCAAAAAAATTATGAGCTACTCCGTGCTTCGGAAGGCACGTTAAGCCGTTGGTCCCGGCTGCATTTGCAGTCGTTAATACCCTCCAATCCGCATTGGGCCAGCGTGGAGGGTCATGGCCCATCCTCCTTAACCATCCATAAGGAAGGCCTGAGCCCCTGCAGTGGGGACGTAAGAGGGCTAGTGATGATGATGATGAACAACATTTTGGGGATTATTCATAAGTATTTCAATAATTAGTATATAATTTACCTCTTGCCTTTTGTGCTATTTATATTTTCTATTTACAAATGACGTCAAGCGGGTATTATTTATACAAGGTTCCAGCGCATCAGCAATTCCCGGGGCTCATAACAGAGCTGACGATGGGTGTACTGACCTCTGCAGCTGAGGGTCGTGCTGCGCGAACAGTGCGGGGGGCGGGGGCGAGGGGCGCGCGCCGCGCAGCGCCTCCCACACGTCCACCTGCAACGTGACACTACCGATGCATAGGGGGCTCTGGTGCGGGCTAAATTATTACCGGAATTGGAAGTTCCAAATGCCGGGATCTATATTCTTTTGTCACTACAAAAAACCTAACCTTTATTATATTTTTGATAACATTATCTGACTGTTAATAATAATAATAATAAAATTACACTATATTTAACAACAATATTAATTTAAATACAAATCTAATTGATTTGTATTTAAATTAATATTGTAAAAAAATGGGTTGCCTTATTTTATTTATATGTATATTATTAATAAAATTATGTAACATTTAATAATTATTATTAAACTTCTCATTTTACTATATTTTATCTTATATTTCGTACGCTGAGAACGATAGTGACCCAATGCAAAAAATGCGATATTCAGTAATAAGCGTTTAAAGTTCAAGAAATTGTAATCAGCCGCTATAAACCACGTATCGTCACTACGCCACCTAGCAGTTTCTATGCAAGCTACGTTCACAGGGATCTTTGCTTTTTAAAGTTTATACTTAACAAAGAAAAAGTAAAAAATACGTCATTTTTGGTTAATGACATTATCATTCTAAACGTGCGGTTTGATGTTGTAGAATTATGATTATTAAATTGCTCGACCCATTTATTTTATTTTTGATATGAAGTCCTCCACTCTCTAAACTGTTGTTGCGCCTGACAGGGTTTGATTCTGATATTATTATATTGTAACATCTATCTAACACTATGGTTAGCAATTTCATTGAGTAACCTATTAAAAGCACTTAGAAGATAATTGCCAACTGATAGAGATGAGACGTCTACAGAACATTTGAAAAAACAAGCAGGCCGACCTTTTTTATATATTGATCAAAATTTATGTACCAAATGGACCCGATATGATAGGGTTGAAAGTGCCTCCGAATAACAGATATTTAATAAATAGTAAATAGTTTTAGAAATGTAAAGTACGTAGCTTGTTCGATTTATTCACGATTTATTGTTGTTACCATGGACAATGGTAGTAGTGGTTTCGTCCACGTGGCAAGCAAAAGAGCTGAGACGTACTGCCAAATCTTTATGTTATCATAGATAATATTTTATGTTGTTTGTTTACTCTTTGTTGTTGCCTTTTAATTACTAATATGTGTTTCAAAAAAACTACTTTGTAACTGTCCATTTTCTTTTGTTTGTACATGGTGTCACTGCTGGCCGCAGCAGAATATCAGTGCAGTAGGCTCTGCTTACTGCTTGTACTAAGCTGAGGCCAGCTTTGACAACGCATGCCGTGGCACAGACTTTTGTATTGTTTTTTTTTTCTGTAATTTTCATTTTTTTTATTATTATTGTATTTTATATTATATTTTTTCAAGCTTGTTTTATGTTTTCGATATTGTGTACGCGATGTGTGTTGACAAAATAAATTAATTCTATTCTATTCTTTTATATATAAAAATAAGCGAACCTGATCATCACTGGTGCCGGCCTCCATGAGGCTCTGCTGTATCGCGTACTGCAGCAGACTCTCCTCGTCGTCCGTGCACGTGAGGCGGTCGTCGGGCGCGGCCGCGTCGCGGTACCCGCTGCCGATGTTGAAGCACGCGTCGTCGATCACGCACGAGAGCCGGTCCCCCTCCTCTATGCACTCTATGTGGGGGACCGGCGACTCGGTCGCGAATATGTTGCCGAACGTTATCCGGGCGTTTAGCACGTGGAACAACGGGATTTCTGCGGGAGACGTTCCAATCAGTTCCCAATTCACTTTTAAAAAGGTGATCCGCTTAACCTTGATTAATGTTTCGTGACAATGACAATTGAATCGATCAATCTTATTTATTATTTTTCAACAAAACATGGAATTAAAATAATTTCTACACTGATATAAGATAAGCGGATTCGCATTTAAAGTGAATTTCGACTTCTAAATTCGAATTCGGGTTCGGTTTCTAACGGAATCGCTCTGATTTATGTTGTGTCCGACTTTATGTACAGTCCGTTTTCTACATTGAGTTATAAGTTATAATATAAGTCAACATTCCATTCATTACTCACGATTCTCTATTGATAACTTTTGTATTATAAGAGTATTTTTGAAAAAATGATGGAAGACTTCATGTTGTACTACTTACAATAAAATGCTTGTTTTTTTCGATTATTTAATGTAGCTTTAGGTGTGTATGTATCAAAATTCGCAGTCTTTAGATTGAAATTTTCATTTTATAGAGTTAAAATATAATGTGATTGAAATGAATTAAAGCTTTTATCCTACCTTAAAATTTGTATCAAAAAATGCAACTGAAAGAAAAAAAAGTCAAGATAGTGCATTTCCTATTACAAAAAGGTTATTCTTACTCACCTATTTTTACTGGAAAGCCGGCGGGTAGTTGCATTTGCACGAAGTCTTTCAATTTGACAAAGTGTGGTGAAGAAATGGCCGCCATTAAATCCAGGATAGGCATTATCTGCTCTTGCAACTGTAACGATAGGACTAAATGAAAATTTTCTTTCTTAATCTTTTATCTCGTTGAACTCATTTCTCTATAACAACCGCAGACATACCTCTAAGGGGTAGTCTTCACATAGCCACAGCGTCGCCTTGAACTTCTGCACCTTAGTTTCTATGAGTTTAGGTCTTCCGATGTCCCGGTCCAGCTGTTCCCCGCTGAAGTAGTCCCCCCAGGAGACCGGGACAGATGACAAGTCTTCCCTGGATCTACTGCTCTGTGGAGTACTCGGCTCCTCCTTTACAACAGGTACAAATTTACAATAACACGACATGAGGAAACTGCAAAGATATATTAATACAGTATGTTTTCTTAAAAGGAGCGTAAAATTCACCCGGATCAGTCGAGGAATGCCGAAATGTCCTTCATTTGTTTATAATGCAATTTTAAATATTCTGAATTTTATTGACCATATAGGTAGAGCGGGTAATGTCTGAAAGCATTGTTATTTGTATATTGAAATGAAATGAAAATATCTTTATTCAAGTAGGCTATTACAAGCACTTTTGAATCGTCCAAAAAAATTTTTTTTTCCCCTACCACTTGTTCAGGACGTCTTTTAGCTGACAAGAAGAACAAGCGAAAGAAACTTACCAGCTTTTTATCATAAGTAATGACATTTACATAAATCATGTCATTACCAAAATAATATGTATTATCATAATAGTAAATACAACTTTCAAAGTCTGTAGGACATAGGTTGAACATATAATTAGTCTTTATAGAACAAAGCGAAGGCTATCAATTCTATGCATTGCGATCCTTAAAATAATCATCAACTTTATAATAGCCTTTACTCATAAGTATATTCTTTACATGAATTTGAAATTTATTTATGGGTAGATCAATTACATTTTGTGGAACTTTATTGAACATAGCAATACATTTACCCAGAAATGATCCTCTGGTTTTTTGAAGCCTGAAGCTTGGAACGGCAAGTTTATTTTTATTTCTTGTGTTAAGATTATGAACACTACTTTTTTTGTGAAGGAATCGTAATGTTTTCTTGTGTACATAATATTCTCATAGATGTATTGAGAGGCAAAAGTCAGAATGTTTATTTCTTTAAATATTTATTTCATATTTTATTATTATTTATTTCATGTAACTAATTTAAGTCAATATTTTTAGCCAAGTTTTCAATGCGTAATATTTTCCAAATAAGTGTAATAAAATTTATCTTATTAAATATTGTACGATGTAGCACTTGGTTGACCACGCTGACACGGCACACTGTAAATTTTGAGTACAAGCAGTCCTTGACTTACGTCGTTTCGATTTACGTCGTTTCAAGTTACGTTAAGTAATGTTTTGACACTGTTCCTCAAGCATAGGTACGTCAATTGTTTCGATTTCCAGGAAAGGAGAATTCACTTGTCGCGAAGTCAATGTCTATGGGGTTTTAATGCTAACAGCAAAATTTGTGGAGCCTATCAGTGTTACCAAGACCTGTACGTTAGAAAGAAGAAAGAAGCGAAGCAATCCTGAATCGATAGTTTCTTAAAGCCTAAAGTTTAATTTATTATTTCTCATTGCATATTTTGATTATTAAAGTATTATTATTATTGAAATACCAAAAATAACTAGCAATTTCATAAGTACATTTATAATAATTTTAAGTTTAGTTACTTTATTTTGACAATAAAGTATGTATATCCTTTGTTATAAATGTAGTTTTTTGTTTGAGTCCCTGTGGATAAAAAATATGTCTCGACTTACGTCGTTTCGCTTTACGACGCGTATTTCGAGAAGCTTACATACCGCAAGTACGAGGACTGCCTGTATATAGGTTATAGTTAAAGCTGCCCGCGCGCTGTGAGCGGTTGGGCCGACCTGTTCCAGCGGCAGCGGGCCGGGCTAACGTTACAGCGGCTGCGGGCCGGGCTAACGTTACATACATGGCCCACCTGCTCCGGCGGCTGCACGCCGGGCTCTGCGTCGGCGAGCGCGAGCAGGCCGGCCAGGGGCGCGCGCGGGGGCGCGGGGCGGCGGCCGCGCGGCAGGTGCGGCTTACATGGCCCACCTGCTCCGGCGGCTGCACGCCGGGCTCTGCGTCGGCGAGCGCGAGCAGGCCGGCCAGGGGCGCGCGCGGGGGCGCGGGGCGGCGGCCGCGCGGCAGGTGCGGCTGCGGGCCGGGCTAACGTTACTACATGGCCCACCTGCTCCGGCGGCTGCACGCCGGGCTCTGCGTCGGCGAGCGCGAGCAGGCCGGCCAGGGGCGCGCGCGGGGGCGCGGGGCGGCGGCCGCGCGGCAGGTGCGGCTGCGGGCCGGGCTAACGTTACTACATGGCCCACCTGCTCCGGCGGCTGCACGCCGGGCTCTGCGTCGGCGAGCGCGAGCAGGCCGGCCAGGGGCGCGCGCGGGGGCGCGGGGCGGCGGCCGCGCGGCAGGTGCGGCTGCGGGCCGGGCTAACGTTACTACATGGCCCACCTGCTCCGGCGGCTGCACGCCGGGCTCTGCGTCGGCGAGCGCGAGCAGGCCGGCCAGGGGCGCGCGCGGGGGCGCGGGGCGGCGGCCGCGCGGCAGGTGCGGCTGCGGGCCGGGCTAACGTTACTACATGGCCCACCTGCTCCGGCGGCTGCACGCCGGGCTCTGCGTCGGCGAGCGCGAGCAGGCCGGCCAGGGGCGCGCGCGGGGGCGCGGGGCGGCGGCCGCGCGGCAGGTGCGGCTGCGGGCCGGGCTAACGTTACTACATGGCCCACCTGCTCCGGCGGCTGCACGCCGGGCTCTGCGTCGGCGAGCGCGAGCAGGCCGGCCAGGGGCGCGCGCGGGGGCGCGGGGCGGCGGCCGCGCGGCAGGTGCGGCTGCGGGCCGGGCTAACGTTACTACATGGCCCACCTGCTCCGGCGGCTGCACGCCGGGCTCTGCGTCGGCGAGCGCGAGCAGGCCGGCCAGGGGCGCGCGCGGGGGCGCGGGGCGGCGGCCGCGCGGCAGGTGCGGCTGCGGGCCGGGCTAACGTTACTACATGGCCCACCTGCTCCGGCGGCTGCACGCCGGGCTCTGCGTCGGCGAGCGCGAGCAGGCCGGCCAGGGGCGCGCGCGGGGGCGCGGGGCGGCGGCCGCGCGGCAGGTGCGGCTGCGGGCCGGGCTAACGTTACTACATGGCCCACCTGCTCCGGCGGCTGCACGCCGGGCTCTGCGTCGGCGAGCGCGAGCAGGCCGGCCAGGGGCGCGCGCGGGGGCGCGGGGCGGCGGCCGCGCGGCAGGTGCGGCTGCGGGCCGGGCTAACGTTACTACATGGCCCACCTGCTCCGGCGGCTGCACGCCGGGCTCTGCGTCGGCGAGCGCGAGCAGGCCGGCCAGGGGCGCGCGCGGGGGCGCGGGGCGGCGGCCGCGCGGCAGGTGCGGCTGCGGGCCGGGCTAACGTTACTACATGGCCCACCTGCTCCGGCGGCTGCACGCCGGGCTCTGCGTCGGCGAGCGCGAGCAGGCCGGCCAGGGGCGCGCGCGGGGGCGCGGGGCGGCGGCCGCGCGGCAGGTGCGGCTGCGGGCCGGGCTAACGTTACTACATGGCCCACCTGCTCCGGCGGCTGCACGCCGGGCTCTGCGTCGGCGAGCGCGAGCAGGCCGGCCAGGGGCGCGCGCGGGGGCGCGGGGCGGCGGCCGCGCGGCAGGTGCGGCTGCGGGCCGGGCTAACGTTACTACATGGCCCACCTGCTCCGGCGGCTGCACGCCGGGCTCTGCGTCGGCGAGCGCGAGCAGGCCGGCCAGGGGCGCGCGCGGGGGCGCGGGGCGGCGGCCGCGCGGCAGGTGCGGCTGCGGGCCGGGCTAACGTTACTACATGGCCCACCTGCTCCGGCGGCTGCACGCCGGGCTCTGCGTCGGCGAGCGCGAGCAGGCCGGCCAGGGGCGCGCGCGGGGGCGCGGGGCGGCGGCCGCGCGGCAGGTGCGGCTGCGGGCCGGGCTAACGTTACTACATGGCCCACCTGCTCCGGCGGCTGCACGCCGGGCTCTGCGTCGGCGAGCGCGAGCAGGCCGGCCAGGGGCGCGCGCGGGGGCGCGGGGCGGCGGCCGCGCGGCAGGTGCGGCTGCGGGCCGGGCTAACGTTACTACATGGCCCACCTGCTCCGGCGGCTGCACGCCGGGCTCTGCGTCGGCGAGCGCGAGCAGGCCGGCCAGGGGCGCGCGCGGGGGCGCGGGGCGGCGGCCGCGCGGCAGGTGCTCGCTGCGCGTCTTGGACACCAGTTCCACGTTGTTGGCGCTGAACACTTTGCACTCGTAGCCGTTCACGCTCTCGCACTTGTCTTGCCGCCAACCCCATATGCCGCTCTTGTTCCTGAACGATGACAGAGGTGTATACTACTTTTTTTATTTTTATAATAAATATGTTGATTATCGCTAATATTAAAATGAGAAAAGTATTTTAAAAACCTTTATGAATACACAAAACAATAGCTATTCTGTTAGATAAAATATATTTTCAACAACAAACGGATTTGACAATTTGAAATCTACTACAGTGAGATACAACTAATAAGGTGCATTGTGAATCTGTTTGCACAGAGCGCATGTATAGGGGCGTGGATATCGATGAGACGCCCATCGGCGTGATACTTGAATTAATTTGTACATTTGCCGCGCTTCGAAATTCGACCCTTTCCGCAGGTACATCAATGTACAACAATACACAACAATCGTATCTTAATTTTACTTTATCACAAGGCATCTTTAAGTATCGGCATTCGGTTAAAAGCTATTTATAACTGATAATTTTCAACGAGCTTTATAGTTTTACAGATAGATTTATGGATTACGAACGATCAGTGAACGAGTAGGGCCTAGTGCAGTGATTCCCTGAGTGATCCAGGTGGACCCCCAGGGGTCCACGAGGCATTCAACGGGGGTCTACGTTGACGTGAAATAAAAATAGGGCGCCAATTTCCATTGTTAGAACTTCACATTTCGAACGAATTTTGGGATTATTTTTTCGCCAATTTCCATCGTCAGATCTTCACATTTCGGACGAGTTTTGGGAATATGGTAAAAATTTTGTAGCAAGGGGTCCACCGAAACCATTTAGTAATTTTTTTTTAAATGGTTTACGAGAAAAAACTATTTGGGAACCTCTGGTCTAGTGAAACGTGTTACCTCTCGAAGCATATCTTGTCGGTGTCGAGGTAGTTGATGGCGAGGGGGGCGGCGAGGCGCGCGGCCACCAGCCGCGGGGGCGGGGGGCGCGCCTCCGACTCCAGCGCCTCGCGCCACGCCGTGCCCGCCGCGTGGTCCAGCTCCACCAGGCTGGCGGACCTGCCTGCCGCAATCGAAATATGTACTGCTATTCCAAATCTATACGCACACATCAATATCGTCTAGGGATATTTTGTATAAAGTTCTAAATTTTTTGTATCAAGTTCTAAATTAAAAATTACCTGCCCGGTTTTAAAATCTGTTGATGAAAACTTATTTTGTACACCTTTTTTGATGATTCCAAATTTGAAAGTCCAAATTTGGGCAAAGGGCTTTGAGGAATTTACCTACAAACATTGTCACTGAAGATCAACTTTTTTTGCATCTTTCCAGGACCTGGGACAATATCCTGCAGCAAGACTTTGATTAGTTGATTCGAAGCATGAAAAATCGTTGCAAGACTGTTGTTAACGTCATGGGTGGTTTAACTGACTATTGATCTTCGCAAAATTGCAGTTTGTTAAATAGAGTTTGTTTGTTTCTTTTGAATATTGGCTTCGCACGGTTTGTGCATTTAGCCAGTGCCAAGTTTATATGTTTACTATAGACATCTATTTATATGTTTGTGGTATTTACTGTGGTCTTACTGAATGTCAAAACATTTTCGACTTCAGTTTTTTTTCATTATTTTACTCCTATTTGAATTTCATATAATTTATTTAAAAAAATAGGAAAATAACAGCGAGTGGCGTGATCAGTGGTTATAGTAGGTAGTAATATAGTCTTTGGCACTAGAACCTTAATAATGTTGGAACATTATATTTTAATAAATTATGTTAAATAACTTCTAATTGAAAGTTATTATGGTCGAATTCCACTGGGCGACCACTAGTGATGGTAAATAAAAAAATGATATATAACCGGTCTAGCCCCTTTTCAGTTATAATGGTGTATGTGTAGATGATTTGTTTCATACCTTGCCCTTTGAATATATAAGTGCGGTCGCCGCGCTGCCAGCGGTTGTTCTCGAAGCCTACGAGCGTGGTGTCGACGCGCACGTTCCCACCTCTTTTGTACACCTTGTATGTATCGAACGGACACATTCGCGACACTAGCGGCACTGGTGAAAATATAATTTAAATTATTCTCTATTTATAAATAACCACCAATTAATGTGCTCTGAAGCACAGTGGTTAGTGCTTTCGGGTTATCACTGCGGACGTTCGACTTTACTAAAGGCTAGTTATCAGATGGAGGACTAAAATATATAATGCCAAGCATGTCTGTGTCTGGAAGTTATGTTAAACGGTTGGTCGCGGCTACGTCTGTAGTTGTTATTACCCAGAAATTCCCAATGTGTTATGACCTGTTTTCAGGATTCAAATTGATAATTATCGCGATATCTATTATTGTGTTTATCCAAAAGAATCATTATATTGATAATTACGAACCATATTGCTGTTATTTGAAAGTCCAAATAAAGCTTGTGTGAGAATCAATATATATTGTATGTAGGCAAAAGAATCATCTGATCAGAGCCTTACCTAATAACTTATTATAAATTATTGTCATTTATAATTTTATAACATTAAAACGAAAAGCATCATTGGATTTGGTGATTTGTTATGTTTCTCTCTTCCATCAGCATTAATAGGCTGATGTCCCTATTATTTTGTGAGGGGACACAAAATTATAGAAATATAGCAAGAATAGATCTAAAACATTTTGAATGAATAGTGGAGAAAACCACATTAGAGTACTGTCGTCACCACCTACCAATGCTAATTCTATTAAAACAAGTCAAGGACCAATAATCCATTAAATAAAGTATTCCAACCATTACGTTAAATAAGCCGACCTTATGCAAACATCAATAAAGTTTCTTTATTATTATTTAATAATAACTTTTTGAATGCTAATATTCGATGAAAATCTCACCCCAACTAGTGAACTCCCATTTCATTTCCACATAGAAGTCTGGGGCGAGACTCAGTCGTCTCAGGAGGTCCGGTATACCTCCAGCACGTAACACGTGCCGTTGATAGTCCCGCCGTGATAGCACCAGTGAGAGTAGCTCTTGGTCGCCGGTAGCGGTAGCTTCCTGCACCGCTGTTATAATCAAATTAGTTTAAACCAGCCTATTTCCGGTAAGCATACCAGAAATCACACAATAAGACGTCTTTCATAAGAATTTATAATCAGTTTTTATTAAATCGTATATCACAGAAATATATTTTCTATATGAATATCACACAAACTATATATATATTTTTAAACACTATATTGCTACATCGAGTACGAGCAAGCGATTTTGATACTTTTCCCAAGTTTTGTAGTTATATTGTTTTAGTATTTTTATAGGGTACTTCGATATCTCTATTACTGCTCATTTTTACACGACTGACCAAGAAAATGAGTATTTTGTATTTAGGATTAATATAATAAAAAGTATTGTGAGTTTTTTTATTCCACCATAACTTTAAAAAGAACTAAACTTTTAAAAAAGTAGGTAGACTGGCGATAGGGTTTTTTAGAGAGTCATAAATCTAAGTCAGATTATATGACGATGGTACAATTAATGACTTAGATGATATTTATTTTAAAAAAATATTAACTAGTCCTTTTTTGATAAGAATAAAACTAATTAGATTTACATTGGCGTTTAAAAGAATTACCGATGTTATGGTCTAGCCGCTGATCTGTTAGTAATATATTACTGGGAATACCCTATTATAAGTAATTTATAGATATTCGAAACTTACTCTCTCAGAAATTAATCTAATTATTTATTCAAAATACAACATTCTTCCAATTTTTATTGTAGTCGATCTAGCTTTTCGAGAGTAGACTATTTTTGGGAGCAAGCACTTCTTGTAAAAACGTGTCAATTTTAGTACTTTGATTATATAATGTCCAGATTCCGTGTCCCATAGAAATCGCAACGATATATAGTGAAGCCGTGTGAGATTCGTGTGTGAGCAAAGAGCGTGTATTAATTGCAAAGTGTCATAAGTGATAACCAGTGGTCGGAATTAGGTAGAGTTATTCATGTACTTACACTGATTTCATACAGCGAAAGAATAAAGTGGATATGCCTCAAATCCCGAGATTAATTTTAAAGAGCAGAAAAAATCCCGTGATTTTTTAGATAAAAAGTTATTTACTTTTACACAATGTAAACTACTGCACGCACGACGTTGCCAAACTTACAGCAATGACATCGGATGTCCAAAGTTGCAAAATACCAATACGCGCGATGTTGCCACATTTGTAGGGAAGGTCCACATTAATATCAACATTTCGATGCAAGTACATAAATAACTCTACCTAATTCCGACCTCTGGTGATAACAGCATAAACAACAATTACCTCAAAATGTTGGAAAATTTTGTTCGATTTTTTAACCATGCTAACTTATAAATATGATTACAATTTCCCAAACATAAACATTCGGTAATAAAGATGATTATTTCTTTCCTATTATTTCTTTTCCTTAACTTTCAACTACTTTTGAACTAAATGATTAAGACTAAGAAATAACGTATTAATTATAATGTATTCAAGAGTCCTATTATAGCCAAAACGGCATTTTTTTATTTACTCGGAAGAGAGTAAATCACAAAGTTATACCGGAATTCATTTTTTTTTATTGTAATTGTACTCTTTTAAAAAAGAAAAAATATAAGTGTAGAAATACTTTATAGCCACTATCATAATAGTTTTACGAGTAATAGAGTACTCCTATAGAGTTAAAAACTTATTTTGCCGCGCCTTTGAAAATCACAATTGAAATATGATATGGCTCTTAATACCATTTTTATCTTTCTTACTTTTATTTCGTATTTATTTTACTGACAATCTTAGATTATAGATATAATAATCTAAACTGACAATAAGTATAGAAAAAATTGATAAAATGCTTTAATCGCTTGGCCTTTAACTAGCAAATTTCGCTACCTTATTAAGCTACTATGATATATATCAACAATAAGTTCGCCAATTCTCTTGCATTAGATGCTTAAGTAAGACGCAATAATAATAATTCGCGCACTTTACCAAAATGTATATTTTTGAGAATACTTTTTGTGTTTCACACTTTTTATTATACGGATATTCAACATTATACGGATTTTGATTAAAAATAGAAATATTGAGCAGTTTTCCCACTTACCGATGACTCGACACTTTGTTTCTTACTTTGCATGTTATAACCGCGCAGGGTGACAGTTTTGAATTTATTTGTGGCGTGTTTAATATTACTTATCGCGCGGGAAAATCATTAAACATCAAGATTGCGTGGTAAAGGATAATCCTGTACGTCTGTCCAGGATCGTGGTGACGATGCCACGCCCGCAAAGCCCTTCTAGCGTCTGTGTTCTGTGGCCAGAAACACCAAGGCCAGCTATGCTTATCTATTAAAAACAGCCTCGAACTCTGTGTACCTGTCCAACCATCCTTTTCACAATTGACATCAGCGCCGGCGTCGAGTAACGCTCGCACCGCATCAGTGTGTCCCAAAGTCACAGCCAACAGTAATGGTGTTCGTCCTCTGGGGTCTTTTGCTTCCAGATCCTCAGTAGAGTACTGAAAAAATGAAATAGAACAATTTTTGCTAGAACTAGTAGTATTTTTACTTTGTGTGTTCATTAGTTTTGAAACGAAATAAAAGTTGCGTAACTTTTTTAATAATTAACTTATATTTCTAAAATTTTCAGTAACCATTAAATAGATAATCATCAACAATTTAATATATATTTTATTCAAAATGACCGCCCTTGTTTTTAATACAGGTCTTTAGACGATCTGACCCGTCATCAATGGCGGCACGAATATTTTCTAGCGGAATTCGCTTTGCTTCTCGAACAAGGGTTCGCTTCAGTGATTCCAAGTTTGGGTGGGACTTTCGGCAGGCCCTGAGCTCTAATTGAGTCCATAAAAAATAATCTAGCGGGTTGAGGTCGGGGTTGGCACATTCGCTTGGGTGCTTTTTGTCTAATGGGTTGGCGCAGAGTCTTGCTGAAAAACCCAATCCTTATTGTGAAATAACGTATCAGACAAGGGTTCCACCACGGGCTCTAAAATGTCACTCTGGTCATTCTTGGCTTTCACCTTAACACCTTGTTGACAGAAATGGAGCGGAGTGACACCTTCATACGAAAACTCCCCACCATACCATCAGACTAGCCGGATGATGAGTGCGGGAGACATTCCATGCAGAAGCTGGGACATACTTGCTACTATTAGCGGACACTTTATTGTTTTATCGATTGAACTTTTCTTCAACAGTAAAAATTTTTTCGATGATGATGAGTATCTTCCTGGAATCATGTCCCCTCAACATCAATGGACAACGTTCGAGTCGTAACTTACGAAGACGATCGTTTAAAAAGTGAACTTTTCTACGGCTATAGGTCTTTACCTTAAGATCATATTTCAGTATTCTGTTCACTAAAACGCAAAATATTAGTCGAGTTTCTTCTGAGTGCGACATGGATTTCCTAGAAGTCGCTCTCGGATGATTTTGATGTTCGCAGTGCGTCCGCACAGAGCGTGGCCGACCACTTTTTGGCGAACTTGCAGAGAACTCGTCTCTTTATACCGCTGTATTGTGCTGTAGCATGATGGCGTAGTGGATAAGCGCCGCGGCCTGCGATCGTTGTCGTTAAGCAACTTTCGCAAAGGTCGGTCACGGGATGGGTGGCCAAAAATTATTATCTCGAGTTACTCCATGCTTCGGAAGGCACGTTAAGGTTAAGGCATTCATTAATACCCTCCAATCCGCATTGGGCCAGCGAGGAGGGTCATGGCCCATCCTCCTCAACCATCCTTAAGGAATGCCTGAGCCCCTGCAGTGGGGACGTAAAAGAGCTGATGATGATGATTGTTCTGTATAGACAAAGTTACAGCTTACAGGAAAACTTTTGAGTTTGCGAAAATCTGAATCTTTTTTTTTTCACAACTTAAATAGCAAAATGACATTTGTATGTAATTGTTGCGTTCCCTCCATCATGAGAAAATATAAACGAATGAATTTGCAATACAAATACAGGCTTAATCGTGATTTATTACACTATCCAATGTCCACAATAATAACGGAACTTATCCCGGAAACTTTCCGATTCGTCCAATTGATAGGGGGGAAACTAAAAGTTAACATTCCAAATTCTGTTATTTTTGTTGTTTCAAATTCTGTAATTAATGCTGTTATTTTTTTTTTTACAGATTTTCTGTAAAAATAACAGCCAAAAACATTTTATTTTATTTTTTCAGTAAAAAGTTTGTGTTTGAATACAAACATGTTTGCTGTGAACCTGTAAAACCCCTGCTTGGTACCCACTGATATATTAAATAATAAATCCACAGCTAAAATAGTTGGGTAACATATGATTAAGTAGTAAGTAGATTTTTAACTTGTGCAATAATATATAGAATGTGTAAACACACAAATAAGTAATAAGCAGAAAGTTAAAAATTAATTAACTTCATAGGAGCTTCATTAGCATTAAATTTTTATTGATACTTATAAGTGGGTTTACACATTCTATATCATTTAATATTTAAAAATCTACTTACTAATTAATTATGTGTAAACCAGCCTTAACAGTACTTATGAATTTGCTCCATAGATAGTCTAAATTTACTAAAGCTGAAGATTGCAATGTTTTCAAAATTTATCTCTTCTGTAAGCTATGTACTAATATTAATTGAACTCTGCTCTCTGTGAACTCTCTGAGTTTTTAATTAGAAAATTTTACCCTAAGTTTACTACTGTTCTAAAGGTTCATTAATCCCAATATTTCAAAACAAGCCTCTTTCAAAATAAATTATAGTTAGTACATAACAATTTCTTAATTCATTAGACATTTGGCAAGAAATACAATCCACTAAAACTCTTTAATTTTCTATGTATGGCTTCCCACAATAATGAGATTATTTTTACATGTATTAAATGTACATTGATTGTTTGGCTTCACAAACAACTATGAGAAAGTAACAAAATTAAAATGCTATTATTACTTTCAGAATCACATATTTAAGCAGCAATAGAGTAGAACAACTGCCTTCTACGAAAGCCATTATTTATATTTGTCACTGCGCATGTAGAGGTATGACAAAATGATGACAATCCACGTGCCGCACCCAAAGAACTATGTGCTAATAGTTAAACTTGATCATTACAAAATAAAAAAAAATGGGATTAACTTGCAACACTCGTTATTCAATCATAATAATAATTTATATTCACAGCCATGGCTTAATTTTGTGTTCTGATGATGAAGATATAAAAACCTGTAAACCAATCTATTAAAAAAAGATCATCAATTAGTCATCAAACAAATTAATCAAACCTCAATTAGTTTAAAGCAGTAGTCTTCCAGGTTTTATTTTTATTTATTAAAATAACCATAAATTTTATTATTACACATTTACAGTATCTTATTTACATCAATTAACCATGATATATTAGATATATTTTCGATCTTCGGAATTTCAAATCACTTACTTTATTAGCTTCCAATAATTTCTTAAGTTCTTCATGTTGGTTGTTCCAAACGAGCCAGTGAATAGGATAACGCTGTGCAACTTCGTCTGCGGTGAGAGCCATATCGTCAAAACTTATGGGTTTGGAAAACTTTTAGCACATAGCACTTCTAAAGATAAAACAGTAATATAATACTTGAAACGTAACCAATATCAAATATCTTTAATCCTAGCTTGCTTATTTTTGCGGTTATAACAACTCCAAAATAACTGTCTTCGTTCACAACATCACCACAAAACACATAGGTATAAGACCAAAGAGTAATGAAATAAAGCAAGGAGAATTTAAAACACTAAAGCCGAAGATATTTTTTTTTTTTGTAGATTATTCCGTAAACATATAAAGCCATAGACAGAGAAGAACGTAGAGATAAGAACTAAAGCGCCGATTTCACTACCCAATTTATCGGGCACGAGCCATCGGGTACACTGTAAATTGCGAAGTCTAATCGCTGTTAGAGAGTTAGGGTCCCGATATCGGGTGATAGTGAGTGCCCGATCGCCCGATCTCACTAGTTAGTGGGTTAGGGCCGATTTATCGGGCAATGTGATCGTTGTTAGGGAGTTAGAGCGCTAAGTCGATTGCTACGCAACGTGCGTGTAAGACGTTTTTGCTAGTTGTCGTTTACTATGGTGAACGACAACTAGCAAAATTTGTGAACAGAGAAAAATCTCTTCTCAAAAGGGAAATAAAATAATATCAAATGTTATTTAGTATTATTTCTCTTTCTTAAACAAACTTACCTATACTTATATTATGTTTTAACATTTATAGATAGCCCTGCATTTCTCTAGTATAATTTGTGATAGAAGGGGTTCTGATATCAATGAGCTATACTTTAAAGTCATGATATTTCCCGTTGCTAAAACTTAAGGTTACAGCTAACCATTGTTAAGCGCTTACACTAGCTCTTAATAGCGTATCTTGTTTTTTTATATAAGGTGTAACTAAGTTTAATATATTATCAAATTGTGAAGAACTCATTCCGAAAATGTTTCTGAAATATTTTACTTCTAACAATCTCAAAACGTTCAAACTGCACAGTTTGTCTTTTAGAAGCAAATATTTTTTCACGCACACTTGTTTTTTTTTACGCCCGCAGTAATATTATTTTCGCGGGTACAGGAGCAATCCTTTCAATACCACGTTTGGATGCCAACTGAGTTAGGGTGGCGATCTAGTGCATGTAATCACAACGACGCCAACCACCCTAATTGGATGTCGATAAATCGTGCCCGATAAATTGGGTAGTGAAATCGCCGCTATATATTATTTTATGTCTATGGAGAAGAACAAGTGGTTATTATACTTTGTCTATATGAATAAAACAAAGAGTAAAATATACTGTCCACCACACAGATTATTTATCAAAGACACAGACTATAATCACGCAAAAAAAACGCTGCTTTATGTAGTACAGTCTATTTCATTTAAACTGGCACAAAATGTAAACAAATGTGGCGTCATGACAGTATTAGTAATACTGTCATGTCGCCATATTTGTTTACAATGGACAAAATATTAAGAATTTGATCGATTGAACTATCTCATTTATGCCATCCAGTACTATACAGTCTGTCTATAAAGTCATGAAAAAAATTGAGGGCGCTGCGATCGTGCACGTAGCAACCCTGTGTAGTGAGACAAATGATTTTGATAGTAGGATTTTCTTTATTTATAGTAAAATAAAACGGATAATTTTTTTTTTTACTTTTATTACCCCAGAAAAGGTAAAGAAAGGCGTATAATTCGTAGACAATGAGTTTATTCTACATTGAAGATTACAATATAGTAATCGTAATTTTTGATAATTTTTTTTTAATAATTACCAAGTTGTTTTCTCGTATTACTGCAATGTGTGTTTGTGTTCGATTAAAGCCTGTTACTTTGACACTCCTTGTAAGAAAACCCAATCTATTTCAGAATTTAACGCAGGACTTCTAGGCTACAATTAAAATCCAGATCGGTTTTGGCAATCCACTGATGTTTTCATCATGTCCTCTTTTTTTCACAGAGTAAAAGAACTGAATCTTTTGTCGAAGTGCACAAATGTTGCAGTTAACCATTTATTTCTTAAGACGACTATCTATGTTTCTCAGGGGTTTCAAATATGCCGCCATTTTTATAGCCTTCATCTACAATACGTATCACTATATTCTCTGATTTTCCTGAAAGTAAGTTTTAAAAATGTAATACCTATAGGTATTTGGCAAAAAGAATGGAATCGCCACAATGATCAAATTAATGCTATAATATTAGTAATATAAAGCACAAACTTTTTATTGGCGTACGTAGGTAAAAATCGTACATTCCTAACAGGTATATTTTTTATTCAGATTAAAATCAATGACAAATTTGATTATCCAAAAGTATTAAAAGTTCGGGCCGCACTACAATATAGCCTTCTAACATTTTCAATCTAACCTATAAATGCATAATGTAAACAATACTTATTTAGACTTAAATTCATATATTTAGTAAATTTGAAACTTCTGGTAACCAAAACTCAATCAGTAACACGATTACATACCAGTCATAACTGCCGTTCGAGCTTTAACATCCTACAAATATGATAAAATGTGTCCAGCTTCTTGTTTCAATAAACATCACTGGAAAACTTTATAAATAATAGCCTGAGCTTCACTCCGATTAATTCTCTTCATTTTTAACACTTTTCTACGGAGTTTAGAAGAAGTAGCTTCAGTTTAATCAAAACAAATCAAAAATGCAGAAAATCGATCTAAAAAAATCAAGTTGTTGACAGTCGATGTACTTTGATTCAGTGTTGTCATACATGTGTCTAATGTTAGTTCCTCAAACATTCTTTTCATGACTTTATAGACAGACTGTACTCAGAGTAATATAAGATTATATAATGAAATAAGTGATATTAGATTCTCAAAAATTCGTGTATTAGTATGACAACAAGACTACTGGCAATAAATAAAATGCATGCATACAGAGAATATTATCTTTATTTATAGATAACGTTACCTGTGGCAGTCGCCATCACAAAGGGAAGAGAAAGCGGAAACAGTTGCAAGGACAAATGTAAACCACAGTATATACCACAGACTATTCCAAAGTTTACTTAATTATATACTAAACATTAGTTTAAAAATGTTTCCGTTTCAGAGAAATGTATTAAAAATTTCGGGGTCATGTTGTCTTTTTTAGACCATTCAACTTCATCATTTTTTTCTCCTCCTTAATTACATGTTGGTTGCATTTACTCCATGCTCCCACACCAATATTTTTTAATCCTTCTTCTAGTGGTTTTTTGACCTCTGCTAAAAGTTTTCTTCTTTCTCCCCACATAAGATTTGAGCTGCGCCCATATGAGCTCAATAGAGTTAAGCTCACTGTGATATGGAGGAAGGCGCAAAATCGTTACATTTCTTTTCTTAGTTTCCTCATTTTATTTAATATCGTTTTTACGTCAAATACATTTTGGCATATATTTACTATAAAATAACAATTTTTTTATCAACTATTTAAATATGTGCAACTGAGTTGCTCTTTCAATCACTCATTTATATGTTCTCATCACTAGCTTTTTTTTTAACAGCCAGTTTGGAATGTATTATTTTCGTGAAAACTGTGATTTTATTACCGTTTATTTCTCTAATGTTTCTTTAAAAAGTTGTGTTAAAAGTGATAATCTAAGTTTACAATTGTTTTCGGTTGCATTTCGTCGTTTGAGTTATTTGTTTACAATATTCGCCAGTTTAGATGAAATAGACTGTTGATCTGATCACTTGGTGTTGTGGTAGGGCAACACTAATGACAGCCCGCGCATATTATATTGTCGGTTAGAGATTATCTATGGAACTATGGAGGCTGGCTTGGCTAGGTTGTACTTTGTGAGTAGTGTGTTTGTTACAATAATAATAAAAGCTAATTCCTTGAATGTCGAGTTAATCATTTCTACATGGTGGCAGCGGTGTTATTAAATAATAATAAACATGGAGGCTAATCCAAGCAGGGAGGAGTCGAGACCTGTTAAACTTTTGATACCCATGCAAAATGTCAGCCCGCCGGAAGAATTTTCATTTGAAAGCAAAGATTGGCAAAGTTGGAATAAAAGGTTTGAGCGTTATTTAAGTCTAAGTGGTGTAGAGAGAAACGATAAAGATAAAATTGATTTGTTTTTATACGTACTGGGTGGAAAAGCAGAACAGCTTGTGAGACAACTAAAAGTGGAAAACTGTGAAAAGTATGTTGAAGTACATTCAGCTTTTGATAATTATTTCACACCCAAGAAAAATGTGGTTCATGAACGATATAAATCCTATTATCCTATTATAATATTATAAAGGCGAAAGTTTGTAAGTATGGATGTATGGATGTTTGTTACTCTTTCACGAAAAAACTACTGGACGGATTTGGATAAAACTTTACAGCAATATAGGTTATACATCAGAATAACACATAGGGTACTTTTTACTGGGAAAACTTCTCACTCCCACGGGATACCGACTTCCACGCGGACGAAGTCGCGGGCGTCCACTAGTTTAATATAAGAAAGCAAAAAGAAGGTGAAAAGATAGAGGACTTTGTTCGAGGGCTAAATATTTTAGCTGACTCCTGTAATTATGGTACATTAAGAGATGAGTTGATAAGAGATCGTTTAATAGTAGGGGTTGCAGATAGGAAATTAAGTGAACGATTGCAACTCATACCAGAGCTGAGTCTAGATGATGCAATAAAATTATCAATGCAAGCAGAAGAACAAAGGGAGGAAGCCAGATTGATGTGGAGACGTGAAGCAGAAGAAATGCAAATAAACAAAATAGCAAACAATACAGGCACTAAGGTGAACGAGGATGGAGGAAGAAAATGTTGGTGTTGTGGAGGAGCAATGCATAAGCGGGAGAAGTGTCCAGCGTTTAAAGTCAATTGCTATAAATGCAAGAGAGTAGGACATTATTCTCGTTGTTGTCGAGACTGGAAAAGGATAAACAATATAAATGAAGACGAGTTTAAGGTACTAGTACATCTGTCTTTAGGAGAAGGTTTTACTAAAGTTAGTTTTTTAATTGATACGGGAGCAGACATTGTAGCAATACCAACCCACATTCTTAACAAAAGTATTGTTATTAATAAATGTAAGGATAAAATAAGAGGACCTGATGGAAAACCATTGCAGGTATTAGGGTGGGTGTGTGTAGAGATAAAATATAATGATAAGGTGTATAGTGGTAGAGCCTATGTTATTGAAAATTTAAAATCTCCTATTTTGGGACGGCCTGCTATCAAAAT